AGTAAAAAAATGTGTTTTCACTATTTTGTTACTATTTGTTCTGTTTTATTTTGTATTGATAATATTATTAAATAATGTTAATCAGAAACCAATGAGTTTTCGACTATTTTATTTGGAAGCAAAATTTTACTAAGTGCAATAAAAAAAATAAACACGATTAACACTTTTTGCTTCACAATAAGTAAAATATAAGTATGTAAATATTAATAATAATAACTGATTTTAAATAATCCACATTGATCCATAAGAAAAACGAATTGACAATTTTGCGCCCATATTTGACAAGCTCTAGACTTTAAACATAATATCCGCCTTTTTTTAAATTACCACTTACACCCTTCTACTTCTAACTCTTTCATATATAAATTCAAGGAATTAAAATGAAGACAAAATTTTCAAAAATCAATTAATATACCGGGTGATTCAAAATTGGGGTCATTCCTCTGTAGGTGTTGCCTGGTGGTGTTTTGGAAGTACAGGAAAAATAGTTAAAAAATTCATTGTAAATAAAATCGGAGATATTTGCAGAAAACTTGATCAGAAGGATGGCAACAATGCTTTTCAAGGTAAACTGTCTAATTAACATTACAATACGTAAATACATCTTGCTTCTTAATTATTACAAACTGTAGTAACCATGGGTAAACACAAGTCAAAGAAAGTAAAAGTGACAATGAAATACTTTGAGGTTAGGATAACGGTGTGACTTTGCCGTCAGTGCTGCGACCTCTTTCAGGCAAATGAGTGATACCTATATCTAAATCCGTCACACTTGTCATCAGAAACCTCCTCTTGAGGAGTTTCATTGATCACTATAACGCAAATGAAATACAATCAAGTTGTTAAATAATAAGAGATTTCGAAGTTATGTCGGTTTAATTCCAAATCTGTTTGTGTCCCAATCTTGGCAGCAGTATTTATCAGCAGACTTTATCTGGGCTCACATTTTGAGCAGCTTTTGTTATTTGGTGAATTAACCCCGGTTCAATTTGTACCAGTGTTTGGAAGATCAAAGATCTAATGTGTTCTAGGGTCCTGTGTATCATACCTACATGGTAGGAATGTAGCCCTTTCTCGGGGGAGTTTTTGGGATAATTATCCGGTGCCTGGAAGAGGGTCAGTTCTGCAATGCTCCGCATTCTCCTGGAAAGCACTACTGCAATTATCTCCAATACATATATATATTTTTTTTTGGAGTTTTTGGACTTTGGCATCACACTACCATCGCACGGAGAGGTTCTACCTTCTAACCCATAACCTAACTATTTGATTTTAAATTTTTATTTAAAATGTTCGAAATATGTTCCTTCTGAAAGCTAAAATTGGTAAGGCAATCTCTGGTCTCAATATTTTCTAAATTAATAATAGCTCTTCCGTTTACAACAACAGTTGTGTCAATAAATGTAAAAATGTAAAATGTAAAATTAAGCCTCTCATTAAATCGTGATCCACCGGTCATTTCGGTGCAGAAAGGTACTGTTTTCTTCCATCTTAACCACTTTTGGTTTAGTAACAATACAAACTCAAACTAGCTTTGAAACTTTTCTAAACAAAACGGGATAAGAAAACAATAAAGTGAGGTATATTTTATTAAGAGTGCATCAAACGCGGTATCAAAAACTAAAAAACGCACTTAAAGTTATTTGCCTAAACAACCTTATTTTTTAACACTGCGCATGGTCACAATAACGATTATCGTTTAAGGTCAACGTAATTTTAAGGGGCCTAAAAACTGTCTATTACAATGACAATTTACCTTTCGGCTCACTATTCAACTTTAAGCAGTGGCGGAACTTCGACTTTCGTGTCTTTTACCGTAATATACTTTTTATTCGATTGAATCTAAAAGTGTCATTTTTCGATCGAAAACTATGATCATAAAAAAGCACTTTTCTTTACTGTTCATTTGTTTTACTTTCACGCACGGACTTTTACGTACATGTACGCAAAAGCAAATCTACCAAATTGAACCCGTCACTGTTATTATATTTTTTAAGGTATTTTTATTAAAAAGTACGTTTATCGACAACTATTGATTATAATTCAAATTTCTAAGTTGTAACTCGCCGATGTTTTTAAATAGCGCAAATTTCATGCAATTTTTCATACAAACACCATGCCGTGACAGCAGGACTTGAATTTTCAACACTCACTGTTTCACGTGTAAATGCTTACAAAAGTACGCTTACAAACGTCAAAACATGACAATTTCAAAAATGGCATTGACATCAAATTTTAAACATGAAGTTGACGGTTTTTATTTTTGACTATTTTTATTAATTATAACTTATGATTTGTGTTATATTTTTCAATCGAATAAAAAATTTTGTTCGATACGAGGCCGAAAATCCGTTTTTCGAACTCCTGACGGGTTCACACAACAAACGTCAAACGACGTCGTCGTTCGAAAAACCACACTTTTCGCCACTGCAAATTGCTATTCTTATTTATTATAACATATTATTATTTACGTTATTTTTTATCTTTATTATTTATTTTATTTATTTATTATTATTATTAAATGTCTTTCATTCGAATAAAAAGTATTGGTGAATATGAAGGCGAAAATCAATTTTCAAACCGCTGACGGATTCGTCAAACACCGTCGTCATTCGAAAAACGACACTTTTCGCTCTTGTATCGAAAATTACTATTATCTCATATGTATGCATAATGCACACAGTGCGAAATTATCGACATTCGCTGCAACGTTCCTAGTCTATTTTTTCCATAGACCTTCCAGCTAGTAAGCAATTAATTTAAAGGTGCTTTAACGGTTTTAGCTAGTCGCATTAATAAAATTCAGCCATAAGGCTACAAAGACATATTTACGATCAAACTATTCAGTTTAGTTGCGTTTTCATAAAACATCCCTTATACGGATAATAATAAGTAAGCAAGCCTAAGTGGGCTGATCAGTTTATATTACACACTCCGATCTGTTTAGATAATGCAAATATTTGCACACGCTTTCTTTAAATGCCTCATATTCTTGCTCAAATGTTTCCATTCCCAGCATGGCATCACATTTTCAATAAAAATTCACATTACAACGTATGTTTTACCATATAATTATCTGGTCGTTAATTATTACGAATACACAGGGTATTTTAGTGCCATAGAGTTCATTATTTCCGATGGTGTTGAACTTTCGAAAAATAGTTTCATATAAAAGTTGTTGACGCACAAAGTGCGCACATTTTAAAAATACCTTATATGATACAGAGTGTCTCAGAAAAGCGAAGCAAGATTAAAGTGTATTTTTTTAAATAGAACTACCCATTTTTCTTTAGCTCATGGAATGCAGCTTGAAACGCTGCATATGCACCGTAAATTGTTTTTTTTATTATTTGCGACGTTGGCAGATTATCGCAATTTTAGTAAAATTTTGCTTAAAAATATGGTATCTAAAAATTCATTGTACCAGCAAAAAAAACAAGTTAAAGATAAAAAATATACGTCTTTCCAATCACCACAGATCCGTTAAAAATTCTTTGAACCAAAAAAACAATACATTATACAGGGTGTTAAGAATGTGGACTTCAATCTAAAACTTTTTAACGCAATATAATTTTGTTTTTCAAATCGTAGTTCAATACGTCATTATATAGACAATTTACAAAGTTATAAATTTGCATTTACACTTTAAGCTGTGAAATCAACCGTTTTTAAATTATAATTTATTTTATTTAAGAATTTCAAAAAGTTGCTAGTTTTTGTAAGGTGGCTATGGAAATCAATAAATAAGTCAAAATTTGAATTGCCACGTTTAGTTGATTATTTACCTCTAATTATATCAAGGAAAAAATGTGGTATTTACATGATGGAGCTTCAGTTCACTATACAGCTCAAATTGATGAGTATCTAAATAATTAATTTCCTGAGAGGTGGGCCTGTTCAATGGCGTCTTCGTTCACCCGTTTTGACAAAAATGGATTTACGTCAAAAACTTACGTCAAAAACTAAATTTATACTCAAACTACAAAAGATGACATGAAGGAACGAATCACAACTATTTTTCGAAGCATTAATAATATTGTTTTGAACTGCGTTAGCGATTCATTTCAAAAACGTAGATATTAATAGTTGCTTAAATGTTAACGGAAATCATATTGAACATTTGTTTTAAAATATCACTGTTGGTATAATTTTATATTTTTATTTTTATAGACGTATGCAGTTTTATTGCATTTTTTACTATGAAATGCCATGCACTTTATAAAACATTGCACTTTTCTTCATTAATTATGTCAAGTATCATCAAATTTTGACACTTATTTAATGAATTTTATAGCCACCTTACAAAATGTAACAACTTTTTGAAATTTTTAAATTAAATAATTTATAATTTGAAAACGGTTGATTTCACAGCTTAAAGTGTAAATGCAAATTTGTAACTTTGTAAATGGTCTATCTAATGACGTATTAATATACAGGTACTTACATTTGAAAAACAAAAGTTATATTGGGTTAAAAAGTTTTAGATTGAAGTCCACATTGTTAACACCCTGTGCAATGTATTGATATTTTGGTGCAATAAAATTCTTAACCGATGTGTGGTGATTGGAAAAACGTATTTTTTTGAATCTTTAACTGCTTTTTTTTGCTTCTATAATGAATTTTTAGATACTATGTTTTTAAGCAAAATTTTACTAAAATGGCGATAATCTGCCAATGCCGCAAGGAAGAAAAAAACAATTTACGGTGCATATGCAGCATTTCAGGCTGCATTCCATGACCTAATGAAAAATGGGTAGTTCTAACGGTAGTAGAAACGTTCAACACCAACGGAAATAATAGACTCTCTAGCACTAAAAAACCACCCTGTAGATGATATGCCTACATGAAATCTTCAGGGCTTATTAGCACAAAGTCTGTCAATTTGACTTTGACTTTTCCTCAAGGACCTCTATCTAATAGTAAAAAATGAGAAAATGCCCAGATCACACGTATTCCTTCTGCATACGCCATCATTTTCTGTTATATCAATTAATATGCAGATCAACCTCAATTGGACTGTTCTCCAGGTCGGCAGTGACAGCGACGTCCTGGCACCCCTACGGAAGCTATTTGGCCACTGTTGATCGTTCGAAAATAGCAGTTATATGGGCTGGAGACTTATAAACTTCAACCATGATTCCTTCTACGGATACCGCAATGACCAAACGCCAGTTCGCCGAGGTGCCTCCGTAGGAACAATAATCGAAAATTTTTACTTTAAGAATTTTCCATGTATTACCTGATATTATCATTTTTTAGCATATTCACAAATATTTTTTATAATACATAGCTTTGTTACGTACATGATTATTTAGCATTAACAGAATTACATATTAAATTAGAGTTGTTGCGTATCACAGGTTCAGGTTCTTTAAAACATTTCAGTGCCGTCAAATGTCAATAATTCAATTTGTTCGGGTGTAATGGTTCTAAAATATGAATACGCATTGGGTTGTAATTACCTTGAATTCTGAAACATATGTTAAGTGATTTGTTGAAATTGATATTACTTTATAAACGGAACTGCTGATATAATAAAAAAATACAAGTAACCTAAGCGAGTTATAATTTCTTATGATCAAAGTCATGAAAAAATGTTTTGAAAGGCTATTTTTGGAAGGTCTTAAATGTATACAGGGTAAGCACATAGTCAAAAGGGCGTACTGCGATATTCTTTTGATTAAAAGAAGACCATCTGACCTAACTTTCATTAACAGAAATTGTCAGGCTCCTTTGCTATGGATAGTCAAAGTTCTGCAAAATTTTTTGCAATATCGGCAGAATGGTACGACGTATTTTAGTGAAACTCGCCGTTAATTTGTTCTTTTTTTGTAAAACTCATATTTTGATGAGATCTAACAATCGATTCATCCGTTTTAGACAAGTAGTGAATCCTTGAGTGTCGTGGTACGAAAACTACCAGAACTTTTTATTTGGTGGATGGAATCAACTCATTTTTGTTAATCATAATCATTTATGATCATGTTTATACATAAATGTTAACACACGAAAACAAGTCACAAAGCAGGTATACATACTAATAATAAAATACAGATAATGAAGAACAAACAGGATGTCCTACTTACAATAATAACATTTACAATACACATTTACAATAGTTAAAATCTAGTCAAATACAAAGCCCATAAATTCAGAAAATGAATAAAAACATTCGCTTATAAGGGTCTTCTTGATTTTTTTGACGAAAAATATTATATGATAACTCCTTCATATGTTGTGGTAGAGCATTGAAAAATGTAATTGCCCAATACCCAGGGCCATTCTGGTGCCAGTACAGAGGTTCTAAGTTATTTTTATTTCTGATGTTATAATGGTGTGCATTTTCATGTAATTGGAAATTGGCAGAATTTTTTACAAAAAGCAAGTTCTCGAATATACAGGGTGTCCCAAAAGTAATGGCACAAAACAAAATGGCGGATTCCTGGGGTGAAAATATGATGATTTAACACAACTTACCTTAGTCCAAAAGTTGACGGTTGCCGACATAC